ATTTCTATACAATTGCACTTTAAAAAACAGAAACAGTTACCACTTACTTTGTTAACTCTCCATATCAATCTTTTCTTGACTTTTCGTTGAAACATATAGCGGAAGGTGACAACGCATAGCATAGATACCGTCCTTTGGATTTTTTCTTGCCTACAGAAAAACGAGTAAGATCGCATTAGTTTTCAAATTGCAAATATTATGAAACTTTCATCACAAGCGCCAGCCCAACAGCATCATTTACTCGCAGATTTTATTCAATTACTGACAAAATGAAGCCTAAAGGAACCTTTTCAAGGCTCAGGTAAAATTTACACTCTTGATTTATGACGATTAAGATTATTTTTGCGCGTGAATGTATTGCTTACCACAAAGACGAATGTGCGCCTACTGGGTGCTGATTACGATGCCTATTCCGCTATCAGAGAAAAACTTTTGATGATGCTTTTGTTGTATGCTAACCTACATAAATAAACTTTGAAAAGCTAAGCGGATTTTTGCTTCTTCTTAGATGTGGGTTAGTATAAACATTTGATACACCTTCTATGCACAATTGTAATGTTCGGAATCCATATGTACCATGGGATCTACAGGGGAATGCAGAATATAAGCCGGCAGATTACGGTAACGATAGAAATTATTCGATCCTTACGCATTTCCGATCAAATATTAAACCTAAGACAAAATCACAAATATGAATTCGGATATATTACGGATAAAATAATGTAAGAATAGTTGATAAATGGTTGTTATAAGCATTGCCTAAAGGTTCCGAAAAACTTGGATAGAAATAAGATTGGATGAAAATAGCCCTATGCCTGCACATTTGCTTATCTAGATATCAGCCTGAAAACTGCTACGCTCAATTGTAAAACTGATTGTAGTCTTTTGCAGAATATCGCAGCATAGATTGGAATAAACAAAACGAGAAGAAAGATTGCTCAATATTATAACAAGTGGGACCTCAGATAAAACATTCATGACCTGTTCCTCATCATTATGGTTGTCATGATGACCTATGCGATTGCATTATCACAGTAGCAACTTTAGCATCATAGCATAGAGTTCCTCCGGGGATACTATTGCAGTGATATCGGA